TTATCTGACGTCCGAGGGTTCAAAATCAATAATATGCAACAGGAATAATCAATGGCATTTTACTAAGCTCTAATTTCGGCAGCAATTACAATACATTTTTTGTCCATCTGGATGGCTACTGTTAACCTAGGGTTTCAAGACGACCAAATAAAGTTTCATGGGGTGGATTCGGTATTCTTCATCTTTTTAATTATGCCGTCGTTAGTCTGTTGGTCTAGAGGGAAGTATTGTTATGCCAAAGGACATAAATTCTGATTTTTCAACAATTAATGAACCTATAAGAGACACATTTGTAAGTTTCATTTTAGTAGATAATTGATCTGCTTAGCTTAGGGACGCAAAAGCGGTGGGAAGGAAGATAAAACACGTTCTATTACCCTGTCGTGGTCATGAGCCATTGAGAGACTGTAAGTTAGTTTTACTTTCTTCTCACCTTATTAGGGGACCTCTGGGGACCTTTCACCATTTTCGTCATCCTTGCCTTGTAAGTCCTATTCACTTTAATCAATCTTTTTTGTTTGCCGTCATGGTTTCGACTAAGATCTCTAGGTGAGGGCGGCCATTTATACCGCTAGCACCTGTGGAGCCCCTTTTCATAAACGATCTTGGATGAGCCGCCCCTAAAGCTTGCCGAATTATCGTATCAGTCAAGCATAGCTTTTATTTGCGGGTGATAGCCAAAGACTGATGACGAATAATTGACTTCCCTGTAGAATATATCTGTTTTTGTTTGTTTATTTGGTCGCGGTGTTTTATCATGTGAAAGAGCACACCCTACCTCGTTGGTTTATTAGTCTATTTTTATAAAGGTACTTGTATAAATTAGGTTTACCTCCTTCCTAATATAAGTACTTTGTATTGCCTTTCCCATTTGATTAAACGCAGTCTCATTGTTTATGATTCGTAGCTCATGAAATCGGTATTATATTCTAACAATCAGTAATTGCTTGCTCATTTTCGACCCAAAGGATCCTTCAGCTGAGCAATACCCGAACGAAAGATGCCGGTGTTCCTGAATTTGCGCAAGTGTTTGTAATTTTTTGGCTCGGCGCGGTGTCAGTATCAGTAAATTCAAAGCTTCTGGGTGGAACCCTGTAAGTTATTTATTGTTGTTGTTTTCCTAGTATCGGTTGGCCTTAGCCACGAAAACATGTAGACGCTGAGTGCCTTCATTGTTCATCACTTTAGGCAGACCGCTCTATGTTCATGCGAGACCCCATGTTCTTTACAGTATGCTTACGCTTTCAACTACGCAAAGGCAACTCCATGAGCACCTATCGATGAGCAGGCCTTATGTCCAAATGACTGTTAGATAGCATAAAGATATCTGGTATCGCATATTTGCAGATGCATCAGCCTAACCGTAGATCGCAGCATTTATAGTATCTGCATACCTCTAATACTACTGTAGAAGTGGAAGCTATACATCATGCCCTGGGACTGAAACTACCCAGAACGCTATATTGCAAAAAGTCACATGAGGGCTGTGTTTATGTCGAAAATTTTCCCTGCGAGACACATGTGCGACCAATTGGTACAGTTTAAAGTGTCCGAAATTTGGTGGTTAGAAAACCGGTGAATGTCTTTCATATACCAGTAAAACTTGCTGTTTTAAAAATGCTTGCAAACATATTATGCTATGTAGGCCCTCAAAATCTTATTTTATGGAAGTAAAACGTGCCAGTGTTTTTACTCCTATTGTTTTGCTTTAGCAGTACCTTGGGTGCCTTATGAAGACCAGGATATCCACATGGTCAGATAATTTTACCAGAAGCAATTAATTTGAGTGACGTAATGGAGATACTCAGTTCCTGCTATCTCCAACATGTAGCCACACATATAGTAGTATTACGGCAAAGACAGGCACCCTAGCATAGCTATTTCTGGCTTTTTGGCCGTTGTCAGCTAGGGGTAGCTAACTCTAGTGTAGCCGCTGAAATTGCTGCCACACTCGAGTTTCGAACTCGCGTCTCGCCGATCAGAGGCAAACGTCCCAACCATTGAACCACGAGTTCGTTGTCTTGCTGGTTGTTGATCGAGAGTCTGTGAATATGAGTATGCATATTTTATCTTCCTTTTCAGCTCCTTCTTCCAGGTAGTTTGTGTTTTGGGCTACTGCATTCTACCGCTGGTGATCGCTCTCTCGTTGAACTGCGCACTAAAGCTCTCTGTAACGGCCTCTACGTGGCTTTTGGTTGTGCGTCTGCTGATCGTCCTGGGAGGCTTGACTTATTCCATATTTGCTTCAGTTGCCTTCATCAGGCCTAGTCACTCAAGGAATCGTGTTGCTCTTGCCGTTTATCCTCTTTGCCTCTTCTACTTCTTTATTGGCTGGCTTATCTTCGTAAACACCGGACCGACGTCGATGTGATCACCTCTCTTATGTTTCTTTATCCTTTATTGAAGTTGGTATAGTTACCCATTGCTATGAATTACTCGATATTTTCCGACAACATTAAAAAAGTCGAATTTGTTTCGTTTTTCTGAAATGATATAGACTGTGAACTATCATAGAAACGGCTTAGTTCGAGAACTGCACACAACTAGGTGTTCCTGTGTCATGGCATATGTCGGGATGGTTTTAAAACCATGAGAATTAAGGTTGCAAATACTCATCTCATACTTGATTACGTTTACCTTCTAGCAAGTACTACTTTGGGATCACTCAGGTTTTAAACAGTTAGGATTTGCTGCCACTTCGTTTATACCTTGCTGTTTGTGGTTAAACGAGTGTACTTTAGCTAAAGCCAAACTTCGGGATCTGGCTGTTTGGATTTTTGTCCAAAGAAATAGGCAATAATGCTTGGCGACTTCAAAATCTACCGTGAAAGCTTCTCATTGGTCCCCCCGGGCACGCGGTTAGTACAGTTCTTATGGTGGAAAGAGCGCTACTTTTTACGTATTAGTAGCACTGCTCGAGGAGACGCAGATTCCGACGTGCGGGGGAAATGGTGATCGTAGTCTGGTTTGGCTCACTTACCGGCCCGGTCCACGTAAGAATTTCAGGTCTCTTGGCTGAGCGCTCGCGTA